AAAGCATACTGTTTTACTCCAAGTTTTGCAAATATATGGGTATGCTATTTTTGGTTTTTTAAATATTTTTATAAGCAATTATTAGGGTCAGATACCATACATATTTCCAATGAATGCCGAACGTACTAACATTTTCAGATGCCAACACATACTTTGGACTCTAAAACTAGGGTTTATTGTTTGTTGATGGCAAATTATATATATTTAAGTCAACAAATATAGAATGCACCAATTTATGAGAAGTTCCCCTAGAAACATATGTCAAAACTATCAATGAAATACTCGAATTTCAATGGAGTAACAAGTTATCAAAAGAAACATAGCTAACATTTAAGAACAAAAAATTGCAATATCCTAACAATTAAGAATGTAACTGCTTTCCTTAAAATTAATTTGTTTGCATTTTCACTTTCAATGATACAAGGATTCTTATTTGCAAATAGGTGAATACTTGTATACTATTTTTGTTTAGCAAAGTTCAAATTACTTGCACCGCACAAGTTTCTTCAGACACATTCCTGAACTATTGAAAATGGAAATATGAATCTTTTTTGTAAATGTGCATGGTTTTAATACATATTAGATACCTATGCACTTCACCAAGCTCTTTCACAGAAAACAGATTTTTAAACAGCATCCAAAAACACAGTGAGACTTTGACAGAAAGCTTTTTAATGAAACTGACTAACTAAATCAACCACAATGTGGAGCACTTGATATTGTATATAGCATTGATGTCCAGATTCATTCATTAGTATCTCCAAATAGAGTTGGAGAAACTCCTGTCTGCAAGAACTGAAGAGCAGCTCCCAATCAGCATCAACTTTTTGCCTGGGTGGCCAATGAAGTGACTTCTAAAAAATCCAATATTACAGAGTCCAATATTATTACACAATAATCATATTTAAATCCCAAGTAAATGTTGAATTTTATAGTTAATCAACTATTCACATTCAAAATTGAATGATCAACCCAAAGGTTAAAACTGATCATTCAGAAAATAAACAGTTGTAGCAGTAGGTAGAACAGGAAACTTATTTTCATTCAGTCAAGTAAGAAAACATGAGCTGAAGCACACGGCCCAGATGGTTAAAAACTGAATTAATATACCACCAGAAAAATGAATGGGGGAAAAAGGGGAGGAGGCAGTAACATTCCCTCTAACCATTTGTTTCTCATTTGTGAACGGAGCAAACACTGAGATTGGAATCTTATCTGAATTTCAAATGATCCATATTTCTCAATTATATAACCTTTCAAAACAAGGATTTACAACACAGAATGAATACTTAAAACTAAAAGTTAAGGTTGGAATCAATATAGTCTTCCATTAATAGCCCGCGTATCCTGTAACTCCAGATATAAAATACCCACGGCCCCTCAACCAAGCTGTAGGGCTTCGCCTGTTACTTATTCATTTTCTGCCTCCATGGTCGGTGGCATCTGATGCATTACGGGAGGGGGGTAAGGAAAGTTGATGATTTTGCAGAATGGAGATGGATGAGACAATTATGGGGATAACAGTCGCTTGGTCGGTTACATCAAAACCCAATAAACCCCCCGCCCCCAATTTCCCCCTCAGGAACATGGACCCTGATGGGCGATCACGTGGCTACATTAGGGAGAAAGCTAACAGAAGGGAATCTCTAAGGGACGACAGGAAACACGTGGCTCCGGCTGAACGATCGCCCTGCATCCATTAATGGGCGATCTCCCTTTAAAGTTGCTGTGGGGTTGTTTTTTTTTGGGGGGGGGGGGCTGAAATAGGCCCCAAAGTCAGCCACTTACTTGCCAAGGAGCTGGTCGTGTTCAGCGCGGATCTTGCCCAGCTCGATCTGCAGCTTGGCTCTATCCCGAGCAGTGTCGTCCAAAGAGCGCCTGGCATCGGCCAACTCGTTCTCATAGAGGGATTTAAGGCCGGTGAGTTCACGGCCACGCACCTCTTCCCGCTCGGTGACTTGGAGGTGGAGCGCGCTGTTCTCGATCTCCAGGCTGCGGACCTTATCGATGTAAATGGCCAGGCGGTCATTGAGGTCCTGCAATTCCTCTTTCTCTTGCAGGCGGGTGATGCGTGTCGGACTAAGCGGTGTGCTGACCGCACTGCTCCGGGTACGCTGCCCTATCGGTGTGGAAGCCGCCACAGCAGCCGCCATGGCGCGAACAAAGCGCGGGGAAACGGGATGAAGATAAAAGAAGACAAAGCGGCAAAGCGGGAAACCGGCGGTGTCGAGCCGAAGGAGGGGCCCCGAAAGTTTCTGGGGGGGAAAAAAGAGGGTCGGAGGACGCAGACGTCTCCCGAGCCCAGCGGAACAAATCGGATTGAAAAGCAGAAAGGAGACTTTATAAGCAAACCCGAACAAAAAAAAAATAAGAATGCCCCTTGCTTCAGCTGTGGAAAAAGAGGATGAAGGAAAAGTAAAGCGAAAGAAAAAACAACTCCGAGGTTTCAAATGAATGAACTGCGGAGGCGAAAGGAAGCAGCCAGGCGGGAAAATAGGAGGCAAAGAAAAGAGGAGGAGCGAAAACAAATGAGGCTTCTGCAGGTGCTGAGAGGGAAATACAGGGAGGGATTTTTTTTTAAAGGAAAGCGGCAGAAGGAACAGTGCAGATGCTCGAAGAAGACCCGCGCAGACTCCCGCTGACGCTTGCCGTTGGAAAGAGCAAACCTAGCTATCCAACCGAGATGGTGCACAGCCTCCGGCCGCTCCTCCCGCGTAGAAAGGAACACAAAACAGGCGGGCTCAGCGCAAAACCAATATGGCCGCCAAGCGCCTCGGCTCCCCCACCTCCCCACGTCCCTCCCTATTTCCCCCCTCCTCCGTCGTCTCCGCGCGGATCCCTATGTCACGTGTCCGAAGCTTAGCCAATCGCGCGGCTAAGCGCGCTCAGCTTCGCTGTTTATGGCGATCGGGACGCAAAATTCAAAACGCGCAGATTTGCAACTGTCAGCGAGATAGTGGCGCGCGCGCTTTCCCCGCTCCACCGCCCACCTTAGTGCGGCCGCGCGCGTTGCTGGGCTCGCGCTACCGCCGTCCTTTGCTGCTGCATCCCCTCCCCCCCCCGCCCCAGCTAGGATTTGCTCAGAGGAGGAGAAGGAAGCGAGGGTCGCCCTTGTATTCTTCGCCCTTTTTTATCTTTCCAGCTGCTGCCGCGGTGTTGAGTTTCTCCTTCTCATTAATGCTCCTACATAGCAGCCTTATTCGTCGCAGATAGCCAGGGAAATACGCTCTGTCAAAAAGGGGGTGCGCGACTGCCCCAGCGTGTAAACCGGAGTTGTTGATTGATTTTGCTTGAGTTTCCTTTTCATATTAAGGCTGGGCAGGCTTGGGTGGTTGAATCGTGACTCTTTGAAAGCCTGTGTTGACCCAGTTCATTAAGCAACAGCTGGGTTGGGGTTTTTTTGTGGCTTTACTGTGGTGTGATCCCAACCGCTGTGGATTGCTAGTCAGGTTTTTGTGGCCGAACGTGAAGCCAGTCTGTCATGATTTATACACTAAAGTGAATAATGGCTTAATATGTAGTTTTGAAGCCAAGCTTAGCCTGAGGTTATGCATGGCAATAAGGATTACTTGCTGAGTTGCACAATTGGCTAACTTCACACAGCAAACTTAAGCCAGAAATTTGGTTGACTAGCCATGGGTTTCATACGTGGTCAGTTAAATGCAAATCCAGTGACTGAAAAAAAATATGAACATTTTGTGAGCTAATGTCTGCTATTGACCTTTGAAGGCATGTGGGCTGCATCCCAAAATAAATAGTTCCTGAGCAAAAAAAAAAAAAAGGATTTTACAGTAATTAACATTTAAATTGAGTTTAAATTATGGTCTCTTCCATTTTTGGAATTTTCTCTAGTCAGATTAAAAATTACAATTTAGTAGAAATGTCTGAAACAGATTGTAAGATTTTAAATGGGTTCTTTGAGATCTTAGGTTGCGTCTTTTTGGCTTAAGTGTTATGTGTAAACTACATCTGAGAATGTGTTCATGGGTAATTCAGCCAAATTAATACATTTGTTTTCCAAATAGTTAACTATGTGGCTCCGTTCACACAATATAGTTATTTTTTTACTCATTTTTGGAATACACAGCTAATGTGTTTCTCATATCTTGGCAGTT